AACAACAGCCACAACAAACACAGCAACAGAAACACGCGGTAATGACATTTGGATTTGTCTCGGTTGTCAGTTGCCTGTAGGTTGGTTGTCTGTGTGTTAGGGTGTGCTTATTAGCAAAACGCCAGCATAATCGTAATTGGAAATCTAACCAGGTTAGGCCAGCGGAAGAGAGCACTACAGAATACAATATATATATATATAAATGTATAGAGGGAGAGAAAGAGAGAGGCAGTAAAAGAGAAAAAGAGAGAGAGGGAGAGACATGCAAATCTAATCATTCAAATCCATTGAAGCGTGCTCAAAAACAGCTGTTGGATACATTTTCAAGATCAATACGAGTTTGTCTCATAAAGAAACCTAAGTATGACAGAAATACGTAAAAAAGAATGCGCTAGCCAGAGGTGACTAGAGGATACCCTGTACCGAGCATCCAGATGCCGTAATTCATTCGAACTTTCCGAAATCGACGTATTCGTTCAAACAGACAGTATTTGATTCATTTATTATGGGTACCAGAAATACAAATTTATTTTAAGGATTGAGTATTTAAAGCATATATGGCGCATGCTACCTTGACCCTGAATTTAACCAGATACATCTATCTACAAATTATGTTTCATAAATTAATCGAAATATAGAGCACGAGTGCGGTACGACAAACTTAAAGATCTACTTCTACGCGCATCGCTACACGAAGTGACTATAAATATTACCAGTCCAAATTAATTGGATAAACGTTTTATGATATTGAATTATGATGGCCGGGGTCATTGCGAGAAACTTTGCTTCGAAATTCCCACACAATTCAAGCGAGCAATTTTATGAGTGCGTAAATTCCAATGGCAGTTGCCAAAGGCGTAAGGACAACGACAACACAATCCTTGCGCTTTCCTCCTGCTTGGTCATCGACATCAGCAGCAGCGTCATGCACAAAGGTAATAAAATTCGATATAAAATCTTGTAATAAAATCATTACTGGCCCTTGGTTTCTACCAGACACTAAAATCAAACTGGTCTGGCCACGCCAATGGCGGCGTACAAAAACGTGCAGGCGGCCCAGGATATGACCCAGTCTTAATCCCGACCCCAATGCCAATCCAAATACCGAACCCAACCCCGATCCCGATCACTATGCCCAAGCTCAGGCCATAAAAATGGCAACGTGTGCCGCTGGCGAAGCGGAGCGACAAGTTAAAAGAGCACCAACAACAGCCGCAGCATCCTCCAAAGACGGAGGAGCTGTAAAAAAAATGAAACCAGCGCGAAAATAATTTGTGTGGGTTCCTTATTCATTCACTGTGCTCGAGGGCCTGGCGTAGGAAGTGCAATAATAGGAAGTAAAAGGGCAAAAATTGCTTAAAGGATATTGAAAAGCGATAAATTGCTTTATTACTTAAGTGAGCCAGATGATTAGGTTAGTGTTGCAGTCGCCGTGCGGCTCATTAAAGAGCCAAACTCGACTCTTTGCCAGAAATTAAAAGTAACGAAGTCCAATAAAAGTGCTATAAAGATTGCAATTAAAAGCTGAAACTTAGCACAAAAATGCTCAGCTATGAGATACGCTGTAAGAATTATTGTTGGACATTGATAATCTTTTTATTGTTTTCATACAAAGTCTTTCAATGCAATTGCGTATTAAATATGCATTCACATTAATATTTTTTATATGTTCATTATAATAAATCAATATGACGATTAAGCTAGAACTTTTCTTATTTGGTGCAGAGCATAGCAATTTCTCATACTTGAACAACCAGTCCACGAAATGCCTAAAAATCAGCCTGCCACGTTTTTAAGTACATAACTCTCGGTTACCACACACAAGGAGGCCATAAGTTCATTTGCACAAAGCCCCCAAAACTGACATTAAAAGCTGTGATATCTCTTTATAATGATATCATGTATGGGAGCTCATTTGAACATTAATAAAATTGTATGCCGCTGACAGCATAAATGTCACCAAAGTGCTATTAAAACTAAATTATAGCCTACATAACCATGATTCATTAGGACAAACCGAGAAGACGCTGAGCAGAAATCATAAAAAATACAAGATGTGGCAATAACTCGCAAATTTGTAGCTAGCTCAAATACGAAACAATTTTTTTTTATTAATTTGTAATATAAAGGCAAAGCAGAAAAAATAAGCTCAGCAAAAATGTAGCAAGGCGTGTTCAGCTTTGAAAATGTGCCAAAAAGTTTACAATCAACGAGAGGCTTTAATACCCTTTTATGCGAATTTCAATGGAAATAGGGATGGGTACCCCACATGCGGGACTGGGAGGGGCTCTGCTGGGGTGGGGCACCAAATGAAATAATGAAATTAAAATGCGCCTTCTGCTTTGGCAAACCCAGTCAATTGGACACACAAAAATACGAAGCAATAAAAACAATAATGAAATCAAAAGAATAAAAACAAGCCAGAGTAGCGTCGAATGGAACCAAAGAGAATGGACATTGAAATGGATCGGTTCTTTTTCCGAATTTTAATGAGCTTTATTTTCATATTTTGTTTTTCTCCCTTTTATGGCAGCGGGTTCCGGATAAAAAATATTTGAAGTAGATAATTAAATTTAGTGCAGTATTGAAAATTGTCTATGATATATGTATACATTTATTTGCAATGCAATATTAAAGTTCATCAACATTTCGGTAGAAATTCTATTAAAGCTTTAATTCTATGACAATCAGAATGTTTAGATATAAGTGAGTTTTTATATAACCCAAAGACAATATTATTTCTGAATTTAAATGCAGGAAATAAAATCAAGTTTGATATTTAGTTTATGTTTTGTCAACTATTTATAATCAGAGGTTTTGATAATCTATTGAAATTATTTAAAACAGATTAGAACCATAATTTAAAGGAGTTTAATTTTAAAGTTCAATAATTCAATAAATGAAAACATTTAATAAATATATATACATATATATACATTTTTAACTATGTCTGTAAATAAATGCTGATATTTAAGATGTAAAAGGGAATTTTAATGTTGTTTAAATTGTAAATATTTAAAATATTAAATTGTTATGTTTTAAAAAGTTTAAATTTGTTAAAACGATTTATTGAAGCGTTTAAATACGCATGAGCTTCCAGACAAGCTGTCAATCTGTTGCACGCCAATGCCAAAGTCCCATCCATATAAATATGTATGCACTTATATTTATGCCAATATAAAGATATTGTACACAAATAACAGGTGGCATTTCCGGTATTGTGCACCATTGGCCACACAATTTCAATGTTGCAGTGCAAATATTGTTTTTATGGCAACACATACAATATACAATTTCAGGTAAATACAGATTTGAGACTTAAATATTACGAACAAAATAGGTACTTGTTATTAGTATCCTTGTTAAGGTTAACATAAAACGGACTTATAGAACTATGAAAAGTCAGGGAAATATGCTATGTCAATCATTTTGATTGTCCAATTGTCTTTAAGTGATTCACAAATATCGATTTTCAGTTTATTTAAATATTTTATTGATACAGTCAAAACCCACGTTTATGTAATTTTAACAATTTTATTGACTTTGTATGTCAGAGCTATGTTTAAGATTTTTAAAATAATTTATGAGAAATGGCAAAATGTATTTTCAGTGTATTTCATTTTCGACACCTTAAACTCTACCCTATTTTTATATCCTAGTAGATGGCATTTATTATGGAATATGTAACGCATAGAAGTACACATCTTCGACATCACAGAGTATATATGTATATACTTGATAAGTATTAACAGCAGCATTATAAGCCGTGTTTTTCTGTCTTTTTCTATACAAAATAATCTCCCATAGATTCATTAAAAAATCGCATAGGTCCGTCTTTCTGTTGCATCTTTTTTGTTTTTCAAATTGTCTTGACAAATACCAGCATTTCTACAAGAGTATTTAAACTTCTGTAAAGCTAACCGTTTTTTTCTTGCTAAATTTCGTTTTGCTCTTTTCTGTCTATCGAATGCCTGCGGCTGGGCCGTGCCGGGGATTTGCGACAAAACTTTCCGCTTATTTTGCCGTCTGTCTCCAGACGAAAACAACGACGGCGACGGCGACTGCAACAGCGACAGCGATGAGAACGCCGCCTGAACTTATGTGGGCAAATATTTATTTTAGGATTTTTATGAAGTTGGCAAAAAAGAAATCAAAAGCAGAAACCGGAAAATCTCCGTGTTGCGTCTTGGCTAATAAAACTCAACTTAGACAGAGTCAGTCGGCTGGCTGCTTGAGTCAATAGCCGCCGGAGTGCCTCTGGAAATGCTTTAATAAATTATTCAAAAAAATCTAAACATAAAAATCAATTAATTTTTTTTACTCTTTTCGCCAGTATGCTGCTAATTGAATTTTTCATAATAAATATGAGTTAAAGATCTAACCAAAAATGATCGAAAAAAACCATTGTCATATCGGTTGAATATACTGGCATAGACCAACTGCCTATTGACTACCATAGAAAATGTCCCTGGTTCAGACTAAATGAATTATGTAACATGTCTAGCCATTTAGTGCCATAATTCAGAACAATCTATGCCAGCAGACACATCAATGCCGGGCAAAATGGGCCTAGTTTAGGGCGTAAGCGGGCCGCTTTGTTGCTGGGAAGGGATCCAAATTGCTCGGCAGCGAGACAAATTGCATTTGCATAGGATAATTGGAATTGCATATTGAAAAATGTTTATGCCTTGAATGGGATGGCAAAAAAAGCGATTGAAAACTATAATTTGTTGGCGGTTTTGTGGCTTTTCTGTGGCAGTCCGTTGGTAAACAGTGTGGGCTTATTTATCTACTCGCACGTGCAGGGGCAAAACGAAATGAGTTTTAAAAAAATCGAAATCCGTCTTTGTTGAACAAATTGGTTTAACAAGAAAGCTTAGAGCAATTGTGACTTTAATGGAAGTTAAAAAACCTGGACATATTTTTCTGCAATATACCCTCTTAACGAATTATTCAAATATTTTCCGAGTTGATTTCCCCCAAAGTTAACAAATTATCTGGCTTTAAGCTGTCACTTTGCTTACGTTTAGACCTTACGAACAGAAATTTTAAAATTTTAGAGTATTTGCAGATTGTTAATGTGTCGAGGATGCCCGTCGCTGTTCGCTTGGTGGAAGCCTTGGCCATAGTCACGCTAATGGCCCTCATCACTTGTGTCTCTCTCGGCGTAGTCATTGCTCAGCGGACGTTAAGCCTCACCATAACATTCATAGAGGTAAATCCGATACAACATATACACAACTTAGATCCGAAATCCATCGATTCCTTAGCCAGCAGCAAATATACTTGACGTAGTTCTGATCATGGCAGAGAAGATGTTTATCGGGGCCTTGGTTTCCACGGTTGCCCTAATTAACACCGTTTGCGGTGCCTTGCATATGATTGGATTTGCCTGAAGAATTGAGTTATACATTGTCTTGGCTTGTCATTACTGTGCATTAAATATACTTCCTGTCAAGATACTGTTTAAATCAAATCTTAAGTATTGTAGTTTTTATATTTTCTTTTCTTTTACTTAAAATGGATTAATTTACGACAAATTAAAGCCTAATGCCCAACAAAACATACTCGTGAGATATTTAGGTTTTTAAAGCAAAGCATATTTCGTCTCGTGATGCAATTTAAAAGTCGGCTTTGACCCTTTAGCCAGCCAACGAGAGAGTAAACGAAACAAGAATTTATAAAGGCACCGCACTAATATTCAATCAAACAATTTCACGCCCCAATAAATTTTTTTAACCCGCTGGCGGCTAAACACAAAATGCACTCAATTGCAGCAAATTTGCGCAATACTTGAAAAATCTGCAAAAAAAATCAAGTTTTCTAATCAAAGGTGTCCGACTAAGAGGTACCCTGTATCCAGCTGACTTGCCCTACCATACAATATTGATTTAAAAACCCAACTTATTCTATTATTTAATTAAATTAATTTTATAAATACCGAAAAATTTACAAAAGTCAAGAAACCTTTTTGCTGCGGCAAAAATTAATACTTCAAGAACCTAGACTCAAATCTTAGTCTTGTTTGGATATATAGTTTCTTAAGATTGTCAGATTCAGATAGAAAGACAGATAGAGTTTCGTAGATATCTTCGTCTCCCTGTTACAAGTATTTGCTCAACGGCAATATACCCTATTTTAATCCATTCACAATAGGAGCAGGGCATAAATGGAAAATAATAATGAAGCTCAAATGAATATGTCTGTTTCTGCTACAAAATACTAACTTCGCTCGAGGATGTCCATAATTTTAAGGCCCTTGAATTATGGGTCTCACTTTTATTTGGGCCTGGCACGTAAAAGCCGCCTTTAATGTTTTAGCACCTTCTGCGCTGTTTATTCTATTATTTAGTTATTTATCAATGCTTTAGTATCTAAGGCAAACTGGACCCCAATGGGACATGCCCGCTCGTTGTGTAGGAGTTTTGGTTCCTTTTTTGTTGGCGTAATTCTTGTTGTTTTGATTTAGTGCCAATTTCGTCCAGAAAAATTGTTCAATGCCTCGGGGGCAAAGTTAAAAAACAAGCAGATTACAGACGGAAATTGAAGCGGCTCGAGATGCCAGTTAACAAGCGAGAGAACAATAACAACTGAGTCACCTGAGGGTCAGGTTTTTTGTGGCCTGTGCGAGTTGGTCCATTGTAGCCAACACCTGATAATGTGGATCTGAAACTGCTGAAAAAAAACTGGATTGGGTCCAGTTCAAGCAGCAGCTTGCACAATTTGTGCGAGCATTGCAAAATAAAGAATTTTTGTTTTATCACTTATATATAATCGTATATTAGGGATTATCCAGTGTGAAGCGAAACCAATCAGATATAAAAGTGTTCTCATTGCGGTTCTCATTTACGTCAAACATAAGAACGCCTGGATTCGAGACATAATTGAAGTGGTAAACCGAATTGGGATTCTCTAATTGCATTGCAGTGCAAATCTGTTGCAGAGTATAATGCATAAATTCAATGCACATGTCACACGACCAATTGTTGATCTGCAGGTGAAAAGAACAGATAAGCAAAGAAAATTTATATTTTAACTACTCACATTATCGCTGATTAGTGAAGTCAGCGAGCAGGTGGTAAGGTTTTGGACGTGTCCAGAAGGCTGGGGACGAGCTACGTAAATTTCCTTAACACCCTTCAAATAGCAGTCTGACCACCACATTAAAGCTTCTTCTGGGTCTGGTTTGGAGATCGAGCTTTGGGTATCCGAATGTGGTAGAATTACCTTACATTCCGCAAATCTGCTCGAATTTTTGTTTAAGGCTCTGTGAAAATACAGGCATGGAAATTAACTTATGGCTAATATAAGTACATACTCACTGTATTCGTTTGTTACAGTGCGCACCCATTGCAGATCCATAGACCACAGAGAGTCCGCCTATGCTGCACCTGAACACACCATGGAACTCGCCGCCATCAGATCTTAATGAGGATAGACTATCAGGTGCGTCTGTAAATTAATCAATGAGTAAACTATATATATGTATATCTATTTAGCTTCTGTTAGTTCCACCTGAATATAGAAATCGCTTCAGCTTTGTCTCCATCATTTGGCAAGCTCGCTCCTTCTGCAAATCCGCCGGAGTCCTTCCCGAATTGGTTGGCTTGGCCAAGCACAAGTAAATGGTATTTCGGTACTTGGTTCCTAGTATTCTCCAATCCCGACTCATGTAGGGCGTACGCATCAAGGTTTGCAACAATTCGTGCTGAGTAACAATGTCCGCCTGCACTACAGAACCAAGACCCGTAGACATTTTGACCATTTTATCAGGATGGTCTCTGATAAAGTACAACATGTTATCCAAATACTCAGCATGATGCTGGTGTTTATCAGGCGAAACAAGTTGCTTATTAAGATTCAAGGGAAAAAGACCCGGGCCGGGTATTACAAGAAACTTCAGTTCATTTGTATCGGAACTATAGAAGCGCTCGCTGCTCACACTGAAGCAACCAATTACTTTAGGCTCTAGCGTAAGGGCTTTGCAATTTTTTTTATATTGCTTCTTATATTGTTTCATATATTCATCAATCTTAAAAATAACTTGAATGCGGGCGTCCATGATAAGTCCTGTGAAGCTAACTTCATTGAATACAGCTTTTAAATAAAGACTGCGCCCAAATATAATCAAGTTCTTAAACGGGAATAGGAAGTGCTGCGACGAAATTTTCCTTAAGAACCCATTGAAACGTCAAACGCCAGTGTTGGACAGTCGTTAACAAACGTAATTTAATAGTATTGCAAATTGATAGAAAAGTGTGTCATTAAATTTATACGATTACAAAAGGAAGGTTCTCAAACATATTGTGGGCATTGCCTTTATTCGAAATACATTTTCTTCTACATCAAATTTTAAGCAAGAAGATCGGCCTCCGGCACTTCTGGACCTTGACTGGTCTTAGCTGTGGCCATCTCTGGCTGCTGTGTAGTGCTGTTGACAGCTTCAGGCGTGGCCGCCTCCTCCTCCTGGCTGCAGGCGCATGAACCGCGAGTGTTTGCTTCAATCCATTCGTTGAAATTGCTTACGCGCGTGTAAACTCCGGGTGATCGCGGCTTGGCGCAGCCCTCGCCCCATGACACAATGCCCGCCAGTTGATAGGTTTGTCTGGCGCCAATGACATGCATGGGTCCACCGCTGTCGCCCTGGCAGGAGTCCTTGCCGCCCTGCTCCACGTAACCGGCACAAATCATGTTGTCGGTTATCCTATCTGTGCCGTAGTTGGTGTCGCGGCACTCTTCCTGTGACAGTATAGGCACCTCCACCTCCTGCAGGGTATCGGATATGGGTCCACCCTCACTGAGCGCACCCCAACCCGTTACCACGGCTGTTTGGCCAGCAAACGTTTCCGTGGGCGTGGGCAGGCAAACGGGATGCATGTCAATACCAAGACGCACTGGCTCATTGAAGCGAATCAGGGCAATGTCGCTGTCGAAGTTCTGTGTGCTATAGCTGGGGTGCACAAGGACGCGAGCCACACGCCTGTCCACAATTTTCACGTTGCTGTCCTGGCGATTGTGCTCTAAGAGGCGCACAGTGATCAGGCGATGGTAGAAGCCATTGACGCAGTGAGCCGCCGTGACGGCGTACTGGTCGTTAACCAGAGAGGCACCACAATAGAAGCTGCCAAACCACATGAGCATGGCCATCCACGGATACTCATGCACCTCTGTCTCCTGGCCACCTACGATGCGATGACGGGTATTGATGTTGCCGCAAGCACAGGCTGGACACTCCCGCTTGGCGGGCACACTAGTGTCTGCGTACTCCGGGCCTATTATGGAGACGATCCAGTCAAGAAAGCTGTTCTGTCGCAAATTGCTTAGAGTCTCCAGAATCTTGGCTGGCTCTGAGGCGCTGCGCAGACTGGGCGTGGCCAGGGTGAGGCCCAGCAGTGACAGCAAGTAAATGTATCTCATTTCTGTAACGAACTCTTCTGGCCAACTGGCAATTGGCAACTGAATTGGCGCATCCTTGCCACTGGCAGCAAGAAGCCAAGCTAGAAGAACCCTGCAACTGAACCTGAACCTCAACCGGCTGCAGAACTGGCTAGACCAGCCACCAAACCGGACCCACCAAAGGTTATTGCCATTGTACTGATTGGAATGCTGAATCTCTAAGACCACTTTGCTGCTGTTTTTCATTCGTTTTTTTATTTTTATTTTATTTTACAAATAAGGAAAAAGGCATATAAATATCTTCGAATAGTCGAAGTCTTTAATACACTTGCAGAAGCATTTTCTAACAATTTTATTTAATTTAGGTGAATTTTGATAATTTTTTGGAATAATATGCTCAACATATATTAATGAAAGGAACTAGTTTTTTTTTATTAAAAAAACTAAACTTTCAAGTGCTATTAAATTTTTCAGCCGAGGTTTCACGAAAAAATAAAAGTTTTCGAAAATATAAAAACTTGGATTTCGTCCAACTGTAGCTATAGCGAAACTTTGAAAACAACTTTAATGTTGATTTTAAGGCTGCTGAGAACTGTTTTAAATAAGTACTAACCCATCTGCAAGTGTATTATTGGGCATTACTACTACTACTACGAATGCTGAAGTCTGTACAAATTACTTGATCTTCTTGGTCTCTGCATGGCAAAGACAGGCTTGCTTAGTGAGGTTTTTGATCCAGGTGCCGTAGCGATTCACTCGCGCATATACGCCTGGATAGCCAGCCTTGGCGCAGCCCTCGCCCCAAGATACGACGCCGGCAATTTGATATTCGCGCGTGCCGTTCGGCACGATGTGTAGGGGACCGCCGCTGTCGCCCTGGCAGGAATCTTTGCCGCCGTCATCGTAGCCACCACACAGCATATTGTCTGTGATCTTGTTGCCATAACGACTCTTGCGGCACTCGTCTTGCGCTAAAATGGGCACCTGAACCTCCTGTAAGAAATCTGTTGTAGATACTGCCTATGGACTCACTAATCAGCCGCTGCTTCTTACCTGAAGTGTGTCAGAGGTGGGGCCACCCACTTT